CCATTGTCATAATCAACTTCAAAAAGACCGCTAAATTCCCTGAAGCCCCCAAACACATATCCTTCGGAGCCCACACCAACTTAGAAGTCAAACCCTATATAAAGCAGGTTAAGCAATGTACAAAGTGCCTCAAATACAACCAAACTGCCTCCCAATGCACATACCGTAAAACTAAATGTAAAGTATGCGCACAAACAGACTGCCCAGGCACATGCACACCCTGGTGCATCCACTGCAAATCCACCCAACACACTTCACTCTCAAACCAATGCCCATACAGACACACACTCACCCAGCAGGCCAACAAACACATAAACATAGACACGGCTAAAATCCAAACACGAAAATTTGCTACACCTGCATCTAAACCACTCCTCCCTACACCACACCCAAACACCATCCCACAAACAAACACCACACCCATAACCGACAGCTCTGTCTGGGGCCCCTACCGAGAAACCGCACCCACCTCACACATACAAGCAGCCACTCAACCAACCACGAACCCTCCCACATCTCACATAGCCAAAACATCAAACCCCGCATGCAAAACAAACCTCAAAATGACCACCACAACACGACCCTCATCCAAGCACCCTACAGCCAATATGGTAACAACGCTCTCCCACAAGCAAGCACAACAACAAAACACAAACACTATGAAATCATCAGCTACACCCATCCCACAAACACCTTCACAATCCTCCGTATCACATGCCTCCCCCATGGAAACTCAATCAGCTAAACCTAATCTAACCGATGACGAAGATTTCTCCACTACTGAGGAAACAATAGACACTACTCCAACTAAAACAAACCAAACTCCCCAACCAGCCAACACCCAAAACCTAAACAACCTCACCTTACTCCTAGCATACATGCATAGTCAAAACTCACCAAAAGCTAGCATGAAATCCTTCTACAAAGTAGCTTTCAATCTAAAATTAACCGATCTTCCCTTCTTCCTCTTTAACCTCCATCTAAAAGAACTCACCGAATAAAATAAAAAATAAAAAATAAATCACCAATCACCCGAACCCAATATTCGAAGGACTAAATATTTTTCAGTGGAACGCCAACGGACTCACCTCCCACGGCCATGAACTAAAAACTAAATTTAAACTAAATAAAGGCCCTCACATTGCTTGTATACAGGAAACCAAATTCTCAAAAAAATCCAAATTCACACTACCTAACTACAACTCAGTTAGAACTGACAGAGCTAAACCGAAAACAAGAAGAGCCGCAGGAGGACTAATCATATTTATCAGGGAAGATATAAATTACGAAGAAATAAAAATAGACACGCCAAACCTAGAAGCCAACGGCATTAAAATTACATTAAATAACCGAAACATAAACATCATAAATAATTACCACTGGGATCCTACATGGAGCATAGATGATAAAATAGATAATCATGGCAAATTAATCTCCGAATGGATAGACACAAACGACCTAGTACTCCTTAATAGCAACCAACCCACGAGGTACGATAAGATAAACCAAAAAATGTCTGCTATCGACCTAACCATATGCACCGCAGATCTAGCCCAAAGTACTCAATGGGAAGTGCACGACGTCCCGCTAGGTAGTGACCACTTCCCCATAAACATAACCATAGGAAATACAAACGTACCAATCCAAACAGAAAACCAAGAACCAAAATTCCATTACAATAAAGCTAACTGGGACCAATTCCAAGATATCTGCAACGAAGCTAACCTAAACGAAATAGAAAATAATGCTCCAGAAACCTATTGTAAAAACCTAACAGACTATATAATAAACGCAGCCAAAACCTCCATCCCCTTCAAAACATCTAAGACAGGCAAACCGACGGTACCATGGTGGAATGAGGAAATAGAACAGACTAGACGAAAACGTAAATCAGCCTTCAATAAAGCAAAACGCGACTACAAATATTTAAACATAGCCCACGAACTAAACCACCAGGTTCAAAAACTAGTCCAAATAGCCAAAAGTAGAGACTGGAAAAAATTCTGCGAAGGTATAAATAACCGTACAGATGCCAGAACGGTCTGGCGCAAAATCCACGCCATCAGAGGCTTAAAACGACATAAAAAAACCCTAACATTGACAACTCAACCAACCCCGCCCAAAAAGCAAATAATCTCGCCAACCACTTTTCGGCCGTTAGCAGTAACACCAACTTCAGTCAAAAATTCCAAGATAAACTTAAAACAGAAAACAAACCCACAAAAGAACCAAACAATAACAATCTAGAAATAAATCAACCCTACACAATGGAGGAGCTCCTCTACGTAATCCAAAACAGGAAAAAGGGCACAGCCTCAGGATTAGACCTAACTTCTTACCAAATAATTAAAAAACTCCCCCTAAAACTACTCCAGGCACTACTCAAACTATACAATCTCATCTACCTAAACGGACAGGTTCCTACTCCCTGGAAACAGGCCCTAGTCATACCAATCCCTAAACCTAATAAACCAGCTAATCAAGCTAACTCATATAGACCAATATCCCTAACTTCAAACTTATGTAAAGTAATGGAATCAATGGCTAAAAATAGATTACAACATTACTTAACCCAAAATAACATCATAAACCCTGATCAAAGCGGTTTCACTCCTGGCCGCTCAACCCTAGATAACCTCGCCCGACTAGAACAAGATATTAAGACAGGACAACTAAATAAACAATATACCATAAGCATCTTCTTAGACTTCTCTAAAGCTTTCGACATGGTATGGCACGATGGGCTAATACAAAAACTTAAAAAAATAGGACTCAAAGGTCAGATAATAAACTACATCCAGGACTTCCTAAACAATCGTAAAATAACCGTGGGTATAGACCAAACTCTATCGGACCAATGTCCCCTAGAAAATGGTACTCCACAGGGCAGTATCCTCAGCCCCACCCTCTTCAATATAATGATAAACGATCTATTCGAGGGCCTATCCCCTAAAGTAAACACATCAAAATTCGCGGATGATGGAGCCATCTGGATCCGCACTAAAAGCATGAACATGGTCCAAAATTTACTCCAAAAATCTCTTAAAAATATACAACAGTGGGCTGACAAATGGGGCTTCTCCCTTAACTCAGAAAAAACAACAGGAATAGTATTCAAACATAAAAAACATGAAACCCGCCTCCCCAATCCTCCAGCTAAACAATCAAACAATCAAATTCCAAAAACAAACCAAATTCTTAGGACTTATTTTCGATGAACATCTCACCTGGGATGCTCACATCCAAAATCTAACAACTAAATGCAGTAAAGACCTAAACACCCTAAGATGCCTAACTGGTTCTAACTGGGGAGCATCCAAAGATACCCTCCTCTCTCTCTACATATCACTAATTAGATCAAAACTAGACTACGGCTGCGCCATATACAACACCCTAAACAACTCTCTATCTAAAAACTTGACTCAATACAATATCAGGCTCTCAAACTAATTACACGCACCCAACATGGCACCTCCTACACCTCACTTCAGGCCTTAACAGGAGAAATGCCACTAAGTCTACGCAGGGAACAGCTAAGCTTAAATTTCTGGGCCGCGTCCCAATCAAACCCTCTCATCCAAAACTTAATAAACCAAAACATCAGCCCCAAAAACCAAGCTCTAGCTCGTAAACACCCCTTACTTACCCCAATATCCCAAAGAATAACAAACTACCTAAATGAACACCAAATTAAAAATCTTAAACAAAACTGCAAACAATCAAATATCTTCACCCCTAAACTTAAAATACCCAAAATAGACACAACACTAGCTAGCCAAATAAATAAACAAACCGACCCAAACATAGCTAAAACTACCACACTAGCATACATACACGAAAATTGGCCAAATTGGTGTCACATTTACACGGACGGATCCTCAGATCCGACCTCCAAACACACAGGTTTCGGAGTCCATACCACACAACCAACTAAAACCACACAATCCTTCCGACTCCCAAACAACCAATCAATATTCACGGCAGAACTAATGGGCATGGCCTCAGCCCTCCATAATCAAGAATCCAAAAACCACAAAAAAAATCCTAATACTTACCGACTCCCTAAGTGGACTGCAAGCCCTCCAAAACAAAAATACCAAAAACCGACCTAAATTAATAAATCAAATACTTAAAAGCTCCAACGACCTAACTAAGGCAGGCAAACAAATAACCTTCTTGTGGATACCCGCCCACGTAGGAATATACGGTAATGAAAACGCCGATAAAGCAGCTAAACTATCCCTCAAAATCCCAGAAATAAGCTTAAACTTACCCATCTCAAAATCAGAAATTAAAAGTGTAAACAAGCAAAAAATCACCAAAAAATGGCATAACCTATATCTAAACTCAAATAGCCAAATCAAAAAAGTGCTCAGCAAACCACTAACCAAACCAAAAATTCTCCATCCATCCAAAAAAATCGACAGAGTAATCACTAAACTCCAAACAGGACACACCAACCTAAATAACCACCTAAAAAAATTAAAAAAACACACTACAGGTAACTGCCCACACTGCAAACAACCAGAAACCCCAGAACACGCACTCATCCACTGCACACACTACCTAACACATCGAACCGCATTACAAACCACCCTCAATCTAAACAAGGCTCTAACTCTAGAAGCAATACTAAACCCACAAAATAAACTAGAAAACTTCAAGGCCTTAGGCGTATTCTTAATCAAAACGGAACTAATAAAACGCATCTAAAAACACAATAACTCACCAAATCAAAATCACATAAACAAACAAACATCCACCATACCCAGCTCCCTTAGTTCTCCTCCCCAATCCCATCGGCATCTATTCCAAATCTCAAAATTCCCAAATTCTATATAAGCAACCCCTAAAACCCCCCTCTTGGGTTGCACAGACCACCTTCGCCCCTTTCGGAAACACATTAAATGGCCTGGCCGGGCCCGTGTGCGAAATACGCATCAGTCGGAAAGCGCACGTTAAATCTCCAAAGTAAGTAAGTAAGTAAGTAAGCTGTCAGATCACAATTATTCACAATGGCCTTTTGATGTGTTGCTGAAAGTCAGAAAAAAATCAACATATCAACATGCTGTACCCTGCATAACTGTGACCAGTGGACCCATCGTGTTTGTGGAGTCGGATTTTCGGTGGCCCGTTATAGAAAATTTGCCAGACTGAAGAAGACGTCCCTTCGCTGTGTGAAATGCGTTGCTCCCGTCATTGAAGAGGTGATCGGTAACTTTGATGTCAGTTTCCAGTCAGAAGATGCTGAAGAAATGAGAGTACAAGACCTATCGGAAATTCACATTACGGCTTCAGATGTACTCTTAGAAGACGAAGGACGAAGATGACCCTAAGAAGTAACTATTTTATGATGTCACCATGCTGGAGCCCCCTTCTGCCGACATACCAGAGAATGAGACAGGGTCGCAGAAGGGCAAAAAGAAGCTTGTGGATTATTATGGATTCACGTATGTCGTTCGGGTAAATATATTAATACTTGTTTTTAAACACAAACATTTATTTTTATCTCTTTTTATTTATCTCATAAGAATATAATATAATCTAAATAAGTATGTCATTTTATTTTTCAATTGGTGTTTGCAGAAAACTTCAGATACCAGAACCATGTTATTTTTCAATTGGTGTTTGCAGAAAACTTCAGATACCAGAACTTTCTGGCGCTGCAGCTTCAGGAACAAGACGACAACCTGTCTGGCATCGGTGATACAGGTGGACGACGCCTATGAAGGGAAACACCGCCATTGCGCATATCATGCTGCGTAGAAAGCAATCAGTAAAACCCTTCCAGAAGCCCGCATCCGTGGATGTCTGTTCCACCTGACTCAGGCAGTCTGGCGGAAATGTCAGGTATAATATATTTAATGTATTGTAAATAAAAAAAAGAGTAATAGAAATAGATAGTAATATTTATCTCATATGTCTTACATAAATATAATACCAACTATCACTTGTTTCTAGGTAGCCTACATTGAGGATGATGTCATACACAAGTTTGTCAGGAAAATCATAACACACCCCTTTCTACCAGCAGCCGACATCACCAGGATGTTTTTGAGGATAATAGAGCGTGTCCCGGCCACTGGCAAACTGCTTGATCTCATAAACTACTTTCAAGCCCAATGGATTGCTCATCCCACCTTCTCTCCCAGATCCTGGTCTGTGTTCAACATAGCTGTCAGGACAAACAACTTTTTGGAAGGTAATAATAATACAAATACAAATACACGCAATAAAAATAAACTATTTTAAACAAATAATTCAAATACAAATACGTACATTAAAAATTAAACTATATTAAACAATAAACATGTTTTTATTATACATTAAAAATTTTTTTTTCTCAAGTTTTAGGTTGGCGGGTAAGCAGTCCCTGGGGATCTACAGATTGATCCCAGAGCTGTTCCGAGAGGCGAGTCTGTTGCCTCTACAGTCGCGACTGATTCAGGAGGGACCACTCGGGGCGTATGTTCGCAAATCTTCCACATCTCGTCAAGAGGAGATCCTCGACGTATGGCGAAGATACAAGGATGGAGATCTCTCCCTGACCCAAGTACTTTCACAATGTTCTGTTGTTCATGGACCAATATTGTGAAGAGGATGATGATGATGATGATGACGATGGACATGCCACAAAACTGTATATATGAACATATATACTTATCTGTGAAAAAAGGAAATACAATGTAAATACATCACATACATCAAATGCCATGTAAATAAACCATATATATATATATATAACTACAAAAATCGTTGTTATAGTTATTAAAAATAGAGGTGCCGTTTTCGCCAAATGCGGTGCCGTTTTGCTGAGGTGCCGTTTTGCCTGCACCATTATAACTGACAATGTGTATGGCCAAAAGGTTGGTTGGTTGTTTAACGCCGCACTCAGCAATATTCCAGCTATAAGACGGCGGTCTGTAAAAAATCGAGTCTGGACCAGACAATACAGTGATAAATATCATGAGCAGCGATCAACGCATTTGGGATCGATGACATGCATCAACCAAGTCAGCGAGCCTGACCACCCGATCCCGTTAGTCGCCTCTTATTCTACCCCGGAATCTTCACGGGTCATATGGCCAAAAGGACTCCGAAGTCAAGTCAGCTTATATCGTGGCCTGTTTCCCTGTCGCGCCTCGTGAGTGGTAAACATTTGATCACATCCTATTCCCACAAATGGTCTCAATTCGATTTGTTCAAGAGGATCGATACATTTATATGGTAGTAGGACGCAACTCATGTTTGCAATATTATTTATTTTAACCCTGATCATAAGGAGTTTAAGCCATGATCATAAGGAGTTGAAGCTTATAAACTTATTATTTAGTATATGTACAATAGTGTGTTCTCATGTGTTAAACGGGGCGGTCGGGTAGCCTAGTGGTCAAAGCGTTTGCTCGTCACGCCGAAGACCCGGGTTTGATTCCCGACATTGGTACAATGTGTGAAGCCCATATCTGGTGTCCCCCGCCGTGATATTGCTGGAATATTGCTAAAGCGGCGTAAAACCATACTCACTCATGTGTTAAACAACGTTAAGTTGATACCTTGATTTATGACTTTCACTTATTACGTGATTGTATGAAAGTTATCTCCAGTACATACACACGTAATATGCAATCATGTAAAATTACAATGTCCTTGTGCATGGCACACCATATTGATATAATTATGTTATAATATGCTATTGCGCTAAATTTGATCGGATGATGCTCTTTCAAATCTTGGTAGAAAAAAGAGCATGCTCGATGGTATCTCAAAAGCGAAATGTAAACACCAAAGGCTGGAGCTGCTGGAATATTGCTCGACATGAAGGGAAAGTTGACTATTGGAAAGTTGAAGTCATCACTCTTGTCATACAGTCTTGTGAAGAGTGTTTTGTCACTATGAAACATATGAGGCGGTTTCACTCGTCTCCTTTATTTCTGACCCGTGAAGATCCAGGGTAGAATAGATCTTCAGCAACCCATGCTTGCCGTGAAAGGTGACTATGCTTGTCGTAAACGGGATCGGGATCGGGTGGTCAGGTTCGCTGACTTGATTGATGCATGTCATCGATCTCAAATTGCGTGGATCGATGCTCATAATATTAATCACTAGATTGTCTGGTCCAGACTCGATTATTGTAGACCGCCGTCATATAGCTGGAATATTGCTGAGTGCGGCGTTAAACAACAAACAAACAAACCAACCTTTATTTCTAGTTCAGTTGCGTTTATTCAATGGAAGGGAATTGGCTATTTGATTGTTATTAAACGATGTCAGATAATCGGACTACCTGAAAGCCTAGTAAGTTAAAAAAAAACTTTTCTTGGCCAAATTGGTTGGTTGGTTGTTTAACGCCGCTCTCAGCAATATTCCAGCTATATGACGGCGGTCTGTAAATAATCGAGTCTGGACCAGACAATCCAGTGAGCATGTCATGAGCATCGATCCACGCAATTGACATGCATCAACCAAATTACCTCTTTTTGACTTTGCCAATTCGAGCAGAAATTCCGATTTAAATGCTTTAGGAAACATCCGTAAGAAGGGAAGCACAATTGGTGCCAATGGGGATGCCTTCTTCTCCCCTTAATGTCTTTCCCCAAAATTTTACGTTGATGTTATCAATGAGTGAGTGAGTATGGTTTTACGCCGCTTTTAGCAATATTCCAGCAATATCACGGCGGGGGACACCAGAAATGGGCTTCACACATTGTACCCATGTCGGGAATCGAATCCTGGTCTTCGGCATCACGAGCGAACGCTTTAACCACTAGGCTACCCGACCGTCCCTATCAATGAGGAAGTCCAGCATTTCACATTTTGTTTTCCCAGTAAACTTCAGATGGCATTTGCTTTCATCTTTCACAAATTGCCCTGAACCTCTGAGTGAGTGAGTATAGTTTTACGCCGCATTTAGCAATATTCTAGCAATATCACGTCGGGGGACACCATTAATGGGCTTCACACATTGTATTCATGTCGGTCCTGAACCTCTGAATCGAGATACGTAACTTGATCAGTGCTCACCGCGTTTTGTGACAAAAGTCACATGGATCAAGGAATGAATCTTGTCCTTATTGTCATGTGGGATAGTGGTGCATAAAAGTTGAGACATGGAAGATCAGACCCGTGAAGATTCCGGGGTCTTCAGCAACCCATGCTTGCCGTAAAAGGCGACTATGCTTGTTGTAAAAGGCGACTAACGGGATCGGGTGGTCAGGCTCGCTGATTTGGTTGATGCATGTCATCGTATCCCAATTGCGTGGATCGATGCTTATGATGTCAATCACTGGATTGTCTGGTCCAGACTCGATTATTTACAGACCACCGTCATATAGCTGGAATATTGCTGAGTGCGGCGTTAAACAACCAACCAATTGCGTGGATCGATGCTCATGATATCAATCACTGGATTGTCTGGTCCAGAATCGAATATTTACAGACCGCCGTCATATTTATTTTTGTCTCGTTTGACGTTTTTTGCACGTGCAGCACAATACACATGAAACAATGCGTGCATTTCACCCCTTGTCCATTCTCTATAAGCACCCGTATACAAAAAAATCACATTCGACTTCGAAAAAAAGCAGGGAACATGGTTCGATTAACTGAACTCCAGACGTTGCCATTGGAATGCTAAGCCAGGATCAAAGTCAACTGCAGTGGCGAGACTCTTTGGAAGTCAATGACAGACCCAGTGCCGGACTGCCGAGAGTCACTACTTCAGCGCACGACCGCTATAGTCTGGAAGCTAATTTAAGGTATTCAAATATTTTAACAACGAAACCTTTCGCATCAGCGGAAAGATGCTTTCGCTGAGACATCACGAAATCTAATGCAAACACCGTATTCGTGCGTGCGTGATTCCCGTGCAACCTTTCGCGTTGAGTTGATTGGTTCAACTGTGTCATATGGCCCTGTGACGCAGGGGTAGCATTGTGCAGATGGCTGTTACAATGAATGCGCGTTCCTCCCGTGACGAACAGGTCTGGTTGTTGATGAAATATAGTGATAGCTAGATAGACAGATTTTTTATTCATGCACCGATTGTCTTTAAATGTAATATCCAGTTATGTATGACTGTTTAATAATCTCATACCAACTTTGACTGGAGTAGGTCCAATAGTTTTTCTGATATTGTAGTAAACGTCGGTACCTTAAATTAACTTCCAGACTATACATCCGGGTGACAAATCTGTGGAGCCGACAGCGACGAGCAACACAGACAACTGCAACCATTCCGGTGACACACTTCGTTAAGCGGCGGGCATCCGATGTCATCGTCCTTACGTTGGACCCATACTGACTCAACGTGACGGCCTGCCGGTGAAGATTCCGGGGTGGAATAGGTCTTCAGCAACTCATGCTTGCCGTAAAAGGCGACTATGCTTGTCGTAAAAGGCGACCTAACGGGATCGGGTGGTCAGGCTCGCTGACTTGGTTGATACATGTCATGGATCCCAATTGCGTGGATCGATGCTCATGATATTAATCACTGGATTGTCTGGTCTAGACTCGATTATTTACATACCGTCGTCATATAGCTGGAATATTGCTGAGTGCGGCGTTAAACAACAAACCAAACCTAAAAACTGATATTACACTGGATACCTTGGCACTGAGAGACCATACGACGACAGCAACCGTCACCGCATTGACCGACATCCCAGATAGGCACCATTGCCATTTAGTTCTAATAAACCCCGGACCTTCCGCTCTCCGGGCGGACGCTCTACCACCAGACCACGGAGGCGGTCTGCTGCAATAATGAAGCGTAACTGTAAAACAGTGTACTTGATCTCACAGCAATGATATATAATATGTTTAATAAATATGTCTGTATTATAATATTTGAAACATGGCCTTTCAAATCGAAACTTGAATGCGGTTGGTTGGTTGGTTGGTTGTTTAACGCCGCACTCAGCCGTATTCAAGCTACATGACGGCGGTCTGTAAATAATCGAGTCTGGACCAGACAATCCAGTGATTGATATCATGAGCATCGATCCACGCAATTGTTTGTTGTTTAACGCCGCACTCAGCAATATTCCAGCTATATGACGGCGGTCTGTAAATAAACGAGTCTGGACCAGACAATCCAGGGATTGATATCATGAGCATCTGTCCACGCAGTTGGGATCGATGCCATGCTTCAACCAAGTTAGCGAGCCTGACCACCCGATCCCGTTAGTCGCATGGGTTGTTGAAGACATTCTATCCCGAAATCTTCACGGGTCACTTGAATGCGGAATTCTCAAGGATACAGTTAAGCTGTGTATTGTTGATTTCATGAGCGTTAAAACGATATATATCCTTTATTTCATTGTAAAAACAGATCATACTGTAAGTTTCGTAATATAAGTAATTAAGCAAACAGAATCCTTGAACCTTGAATCCAGGTTCGCCCTGGTTATGTTTCTGGGTTTGTCAGCACCATACCCGTGCTCGTGGGTTTCACCGAAGTGGTAAACGTCTGAGACCTGCATCACTTCGGGCTTTCTTCCCACATCAAGCTAACACATCGTGATATAACTGGAATACTGTTCAAAGTGGCGTTAAACCCAACTCACTCATTTAACACCACATCCAGCAATAGTTCGGCTATATGACAAGGATTATAAATAAATCAAATCTCAAATCTCAACCAGACAA